TAAACACTGCTGGTAGCAATGCTTTGCAACCATCAACGTGCTCCCCTTCTCAAAAAACGGACTCCGGCTTCGCCGAGGACGAGGGTATACACCGTTACACGGAACCGATATCCGATTTGGATCTGAGGAACGCATTGATAGAAAAGAGCGTCAGAGGCATGGCACAATCATGGCAACGGCTGAGTGAGTGGAAAGGCTTTTGCGATTTCAGCAACTCAGACTGATCTTGCATTTCAGGTACCTCTTCTCCTCTTCTCTGCGGTCCAGATTATTCTCATAATATTTTAAATTGGGAATCTATGAATTGTTATCGCAATGGGCTCTCTCACAAGCTGGGATGGCCGAGTCGTTAAGGCGAGTGATTTGAATTGCTCACTATCACTTGGTGTTTCACCGCGTAGGTTCAAATCCTGCTTCCAGCGTATGTGGCTTTCCTTCTTTTTACAACTTGTGGATTGTGCTCCGGCGCCTGCCTCCCATAATGTATGGATTGTCGTTCTGTCGCGGCAGGCTCCTGTATACGCAGTGGAGCTGTCAAAGACTCAGGAACGAGTGATAGGGGACCGGTGTTTGAGTAAGTCAATGTGGACTGGGTCCAATAAGATAAAGAGTAACTAGTACCAGTGTACTCACCTGGGAGTGATTTGAGAGATAAAGAGTAACAATCAATCACAATAGCTATCTATATCTAGTGCGCGCGTATTTTATTTCCCTCATCGTCGAGGTCTCCCACATAGCATACCTGAATTACTTACGTAATGTAGACAGGCAAATATTTTATTCCAATTCCTACAACTCCCCCCTGATGGGTGTGGCACACATCACTCGAGTTCATAGCTCAGTTCGGTTAAGCTCCCCCGTAAGGCAGCAAGGAGACGACGGCCAAACAATGTTGGCAAAATGCGGCGCATCCGTCATGATCAGCAACTCCTAGATCTCTCGTATTCCGTTACGCCCCATCGTCAGTGGATCTTCTGCTCATTTCTGTCAAGCGTTGGTTAGAGTGATACTGGAGGGGCGATTTTGTTTGCATGTTTGCTTCGTAAAGTTCGCACGTTGATGGCCTTTCCTTGTCTCTCTTGCCTCTCAAGGCTTGCCATTCACTACATTCTGTTGGTTTTACATAATCTCCTTCTTCGTGAGCGGTGGAACCTGTGGTATGTGAGGGCGTCTTTTGGGCATCAATTCATGACCCACATTCCCCAGGTGGCGCACCTCTGGCAGCCGAACGGAACGTGGCTCCAAAAGCTTGAATATGTGGTGCCCCGGTCGACGATACAATGTGATTCACTAACCTCAAGCCCCTCTTAGATACCAAGTTTGCCGATTACTTGATTTATAAACCTTACTCTTCGCCTCACGTTTGAATTGGTCAAAGAGCTGTGGTTGGGTCCGCGTGTAGCGGTACTTATCTTGCGGAAAGTTTTACCCCCCTGAAAATCTGCATGTGCTGCATAGGCTAGCTGGGAGGCGCGTGAAATTACCCGACTCCGGGGGTATCTGAGACCTCATCAAGGTGAGGGAAACTTCGAACGGGGTTGATGACATACTGACAAGTTGGACCTCTGTCTAGCTTCGATTGGAACTTGCCGAAAGGGTGCCTTGCACTCGTGGGGTGGTACCCTGCCCCAGGTTGTGATGGGCCATACTTAGGATGGATACTCCGTTTGAGGCTGGGCGTTGACACCGAGCATTTAGCATGGGTGGAGGTGAAGTTCCGACCCAGGTTTTCTACTAGCCCGTATTGGCCAAATGCATTCTGATATCCGATCGAAGTGCTTCTGCATGGTACAGGGGCTCTAGCGTTCAAAGTAGTAGTTTCGAGTATTTATACGACGCATTGATGATTCATCTGCTCTCAGGTCCCTCCTCGTGTGTTCAGTTACTGTTCTCGATATACTACATCGTCAATTTGAGTCCACTACATGCCAAGGTACAGGTTAAGAGATAAGCATAGGTAATTAGTATTGAATAGGTAATTAGTTGTAATTAGTATTGAGGTGGGGTAGTACTGAGATGACAGTTAGAGATAAAGATAGCTAGATATACAGTACGGTAGTCAATGGAGTGAGTGGGAATGCGATGCGATATGATATAAGTCATAATGAAATTGTGTATATAAGTAACGTTCTCGGGTGAAAGGTCCCACGATGAAGGGAAGAAGGCGAGAAGGGAGCTTACAAGTAGGACCTGGATGCACTGGCAACAGCATCATTGGCGTCAGGAGCTTATGGAACAGCATTGAGTCAGTAAATGCAGAATGGGACCTGAACTAGGTAGCTATCTAGACTTACCGTGGGTTGGATGAACAATAGCCCAAACGCCGGGCCTTCTGTCGGCCTTGAGGCCATATATCGTCTGCCCCTCGGGTGTCAAGTAATCTATCCACTTTCGATGCGGGTCATCGGGATCTCTTTTCTGAAAGACGTTATGAATCCCCTTGAGCAGCTCCAGCACCGTAATTTCCTCGCCCTGAGAGTTCGAAAGTTTAAATTCCATACCGGGCAACTCGTCGTGCAATATTATGAGATTTGTGAGCCCGATATATGTAGCCGTCGTATTGAGGTACTGGGAGAAGGTACGACATTGGTGGATGCGATTTTCCCTACCCTCAGGCGAAGAAGAAAGCGTGTAATGGATGCTTGAGAAGCCATCTACGAGGCATCTGTGCATGCCACTGTGGTCGAAATGGTGGGGATCCAAGTAATGATGCGACGGAGTCTTCAACGAAAGCTGCGCTTGTGCCTTGTAAGGCGAGGAGACGTTCGAGTTGGTGAGCGGGTGCTCGGTGTGGGGTGGCGGGGTGATAAGATAATGATCGTCATATGACGATTCGGGGGAGAATTCCATGTCGGACGAATAAGGAGTGGATATGAGGGTGCGCTTGAATAAAGAGGGCGTCGCAGTATATGGAAAGTCATGTGGGGAAACTTGGAGAGGAGTGCCACTGGGTGATGGTGAGCGAGAGGCCTGAGGGGTATCTGGATTGATGATTTCGATTTCTCCAAACCGAACAGTGGGAGGCATTAATGACGGTGTCTGAGCAGCACTGCGAGGCGTCAGTCAGTATCTCGCGATGTAAGGTAAGGCGACTCACAATCTGGAGGTAACGCATTCAGTATATGGGAAGTCGTGTACGGAAACTGGGAGGGGGGAGCCACTGGGTGATGGGGAGGCAGAAGCCTGGGGGGTATCTGGATTAATGATTTCGATTTCTGCAAACCGAACAGCAGAGGGCATTAATGACGGTGTCAGAGCAGCGCTGAGAGGTGGTGGCTTATACGTCAATCAGGAGTCTCGGATGCGAGATAATGCGACTCACAGTCTGAACCAGGGTAAGAAGATTGGTGGTAGTCAATGCCGCCCGTGGAAGTAAGGAGACAAGGAGTGTTGGTATCTAGGCTGTGGAAGGGCCGCGCCTTTTATACCCCAATTCCAGCATGAAAATAATATATAATTGCATCGCAGTAAAATCCGTGACGTCAAGGCTAGACGCAGTGCAAGATACGCGGTGCCAAATGCGGAAAGCTACTGTGCTTATTCCCCTGTGGCATTATGTAAGGCACCATCATTATGTCTCGAATCTCGATTTCCCAGTCCATTGTCTTGTTCCAAGCACCCATAATTCGTGTTAGCACCAGCAATGGTACGAGTGCACACAGCCGAAGCACTGAAGATAGAGAGGGCAACTTGCATAGCTCCGTTGAAGTGGCTCAATTTGATAAATACACACCCATTTTCCATTTTTGACCCGATGTGTACTGCGCACAATGGTCGACACGAGGCTCATGAATCACATCGTCCCCCCGCCAGGAGTTACACAGGGAGTTACACAGTCCACTGTCTGTAAGCAGTAGTTATGTCCGACATCGTCGCTCCCGCGGATAGAAGCAACTCATGGTACTTAGGACACAGTAGGAATTCTCGATGTACATCAGGGACTCGGAAACAACTAGTTTTTAGGGTATTCTCCATATGGATTCGATCGTGAACATGAAGCTTCGCGGACTTAGATCTCGGCCATCCTCGCCACTACACCCTTGAACCAATCAGCGCCGTCAGATTCATGTATCCATGTGAAAAAAAAAGGAATACTAATAAACCCGAAATTCATCTTATCACAGTGGCGTTGAAGTCTAGGCGATCTAGTCTGGACCATGAAATGTGTAAGAAGAATCGCCACGATCTGCCAGAAATTCAGACAAGGAGAAGTCTAGACGGCATTCACAGATTGACAAGAACAGAGCACAACACCTACATCGAGGTGGGAGAACCGCTTCAAAATCATTCCAGAGAGTCCAGTCTAAAAACAATGACATGTCATGCACAGGAATATCGGAGATCTGCAGACACAGCAAATGGGGGAGAGCTCATGGGGTAAGTCCAGCGCGTTCAGGTACATGTGGAGGGAAACCGTCGACACTGCTTTATAAATGCGGATCAAGTACCTCTTTAGGCAGCCCTCGCGTCCTGAGCTATCCTAAGAGCTCAGGCCATGGATGCATTCTTGCCCGATATTCTTATATCATAATTTGATATGATTGAAACAGAAATTAACCGACCTTGCGAGAAGGAATGACACGAAAATGGTGGAACAGAGAAGCTGCAGAACTTGTGTGCAGAATTAACGATAATCTTGAGCTACGACCCCAATTGTTCACCCTTTGGATAACTTGAAGAAAAAAAATTCAATTGAATCTGCGAAAGGAAGTGGTTCTCGATCGACGATCAACGGCTTATCCGCCGGCTGTATCTTCCAGGATGCGAATGTGACCATGGACCCTATTACGAGGTCAAAAACAATCCACAGATCGAAGCTGCCGTGATACAGAAACTTCGACGTTCACGATCTTCAGATTGGACACGATCTTCTTCGGATGATTACTCTGGACCCTATTACGGGGTCAAAACAATGCACAGATTGAAAGCGTGATCCAGAAACTTCGACGTTCACGATCTTCAGATTAGACACGATCTTCTCCGGATGATTGAGTGTTCAGCTCACAATCTCGATTTGGGTAAATATCTATATCCCTGTGCCACATCAATCTCTTAAGTCAGCCCTCGCGTCTGAGCTATCCTAAGAGGTCAGGCCACAGAAGCATCTCCTCACTTCTCCAGTATCTTGAACAGGCAAAGGTTTCGTACCTGTCGCTCTCAATTTTTATAGCCTCTTTTGTCTTGCTTGTGACATATTTTCTATTCCAGGTATGTATTGTTTAAATATTGTGAGTATTCTAACTTATTGTGCTGGTGATCGGATTGAAGATTCGAATGGACTTGTAAATGCTAGCAGCAAGAAGGGAATTCATGACATGATTCTGCCTCCGCTGCCTGATGCATAAACTGGGTATGTGCTTGCAAAGGAAGTGAATCTGGCTGATAGACCTGGACTCAATCTGGGTTG